CAAACCCACACAGACTTGGAATCACCTGTCCAGTAAAAAGGGCCCAGGCATGGCCAGGTGGTTAGGATGCTCGACTCGCAATCAACGGATCGCGGGTTCGAATCCCCATCCCACCAAATTTGCTCGCTCTTTCAGCCGTGGGGGCATTATAATGTGACGGTCAATCCCATTATTCGTTGGTAAAAGAGTAGCCCAAGAGTTGGCATGGGTGGTGATGACTAGCTGCCTTCCCTCTAGTCTTACACTGCTAAATTAGGGATGGCTAGCGCAGATAGCCCTTGTGTAGCTTTGTGCGAAATTCAAAAACAAACAAACAAACCAGTAACAAGTTCTGAATAAAAATGGGTAAATGACCATGCAACCCATATAAGCAGAGATCCCGCAAAATGCTGTCCTTCCATGTAGTGTCATAAGCCTTCTCAAGGTTTCAAGTCGAATCAGGTGGTCTACATGGGAGCACTGTTAATGGAACCCACAATGGGTGGGCGAGAGGAGGTTGTTTGATTCGAGGAACCAAACAAGATGAGCATAAACCATCCTTCCTAAGACCTTACAGAGACAGAGCAATTGGACGATAATTAGAAGGAATCTTGGGACCCTTCCCAGTGTTAGAGAAAGGGAGGACAATGGCCTGGTGCCTAGCATAAGGAAAACATGGCAGGAGAGAGATGACACCAACCACGACCAATCTACCTCAAAACAACAGGAAAATGACCACTTCCCCGTGGGTTACTGTCAAATTCCAAGAAAAACGAGAGAAAAGTGAAGGGGAACAGATAGATAATAGATCAACAGCAGTAATAGATTGACTAGGTGCATGAAAATATGTAAAATAACCAATATTGAAGAGAGCCAGGTCGTGATGTAAGAGCATATGCTCTACAGAACGACCCCTCCCATCAATATCAGCACTACCCCAAAGGGGATTGTGTCCATTAAAGTCTCTCAAGCTGAAAAAGGGAGAAAGCAACTGTTTGAGGAGAGCATCAAGGTCTGACTGATCACAAGTCTCCCCAGGAGACAGGTAAAGAGAACCAACAGTGATGGTATGACCCAGGGAGATATTGATGGTTATGGCCTCCAAGGGTATATTGAGTGGCACAGACAAGGTGGGCACATGCTGGTCGACCAGCAGTGCCACCACTCTTCCATCACACAACCTGTCGTTCCAGTATAAAGAAAACTGCCAAAAGGTGACTGTATCAGCAGGTTTCAGGAATGTTTCCTGTAAGGAAAGACACACGGGATGATAGGTATCAATCAAGGCCTTGATGTCATCCAGACTAGAATGGAAATCTCGACAGATCCACTGTATCAAAGTGGCCATTTTATTTAGGTGGAGAACTGCTTGAGACAGATCCTTTTTCCTTGCTAGAAGGAGGTCTTTCGACCTCCGTGTATCCTGCCCTGGGTTTAGTGTGCAGATCTTTGTCATTAGACTTAGATTCCAGCGACTTTGGGCATAAACGAATAATCATTCTGCATCTCAGGGCCAAAGAAGAAGAAGAACCTGAACAGACACCAGAAACTGGGACCAAAGGAAGTGGACCCAGGCAGTCATTGGAATGAATGGTGGGGACAGAAGTAGGATTAGTTGTTGACTTGTTTATCCACGGAAGGCAAAATATTCTTCCCGTGGTGTGAAAAAGACTCTGGCACAGAAAGATATGTCAGCATATCCACTGTAGCAATGGAGCATAGTGCAGCAGCATATGTCCAAGATGCAAAAGGGGACAACAACTTTCGTGCCTCAAGATAAGAAATGTTATTAATGTTTTTTAAATGTTGTATCTCTTTATCCTCCACCCACTTAGGGCAAGAATGAAAGTAAGAGGGGTGGGAACCACTACAGTTGATACAGTGAGGGTCCAGTTGATACTCATAGGCGTCGTAGTCTTTGCCACCACAATGAGCACATGTCAAAGAACCACGACAAGATGACTTTGAAGGTCTGAACTGCTGACACTGGAAACACAGAAGAGAGGTAGGAATATAAGTCCATATCCTACAGTTAGGATAACCTGCCTTGACAGAGGCAGGCAGATGTGGCAATGAAAATGTCAAAATATGAACATTGGTAGGCAGTATAGTTCCTTCTTTACGAGTGGAGATACGTCTCACTGCAGAAACTCCTTGGCTGGAGAAACCAGTGAGAATCTCTGACTTGGAGATGCTCTTCAAATCCCCCTCAACAATAACTCCTCGTGAGGAATTCAAAGTAGGATGGGGAGCAACCTCAATAGGTATATCTCAAATAGGTTTTGAAGGAGGAGTTCACCGTGTGTTGGTGTAGATGTTTCCACCAGGATGTCTCCAGAATGTAATTTCTTGACAGACTTTGGAGAGCCAGAAAGTCCCTCTAATCTCTTCTGAATAAAAAAAGGGATACATTCGCCCTAAAGGTATGACAAAGAATGCACTATGATAAAACGAGGTACAGGTGCAGAATGTGGTGGAGACTGCTGTTCAGTCTATGAGACATGGTTACTTACTTATGAGCTGTTTTTTATTATTTTATGTTTATTAGGATTTGGGGGATCCATACTATAAGAAAGAATTGGTGCCCACTGACCCCACCCACTATGGAGTCCTACGAGGGGATGCACTACAATGCCAAACAAGGACACTGCAGCAATGCCAGGGCTTCGTGAGCATTATACCCAAACACCAGCATCAGACACAATGTCCACAACATCCGTTGAGAGTATCCAACACTGGTACCCTAGCGCAAAAGAGCCAGCCAGTTGACCCGGGGGGCACCCATCTACAGGAATTCAAGGCCAAAGAGGTGTGTTGCAGTGCCTACCAGGATCCTCTCCTCCCCTTCACGGGTCATCACGCATGGCAAACATGTGGGTAGATGTTCAGATCCCAGAGGAAGTAAACTGAAAGTACTGAACCTTCTGTGAGAGGTCCCCTCACCATGTACAGGAATCCACCTTGAGGGGATGGCATCAGTTCTGCAATTAAAAGAGCAGGGGATTCCCTATTTTTCCATGGCGTTGATGTTAAGAATGCATTTGCGTTGTTTAGTGAACTAAAAACAAGAGAATCAAAAGTTCTTCATTATGTTGCTTATAATAGTATCCTTTCAAGGTGAAGAAATTCCATACTATTTCCTATAGAATCCCAAGTTATTATTTGTATCCTGCTTTTTGTTGATGATACTTACCAAAAATTGTTCAGTTTGACATAGGAACCAGTTCAAACAATTAAAGAGAGAAAGAGCAGTTCTTCTGAAGAAATTCCACCATTTTGTTTAGACCCGCCTCTGTCAAACTTCACTGAATCAACAAATTTATTTTTGACACTTGTGGCAGCAAAGACCAAGTACAATAATTATTTGGTATTATATCTATGATGGCAAGCCCTATCCAGGAATAACAACTGCCTGCAAAGAGGAACTTAAAGTGAAAACAATGCAATGGTTAGGTTAAAATTATTTTATTTGGTTTTCATGTGCTAACATTATCTGGTATAATTGTGCATCCATGTTAGGTTTCATACCAGAACCAACGAAGTTGTGCAGTTGGAGAGATATTGTTCAATTTGAACTGATTATTTGGTTATTGATTATGGACTTAGTTCCGGAATCTAAAAATCTTTTGCATATGCACATGTTCTTGTACACGGTTTTAATGTATATTTACATTTTTTCAGTCAGTTTAGTGTTATGCTGCACATGTTCTGTATATTTTTTTATTAAAATAAATTTCCTTTGCATTATTTCAAAACATGAGCTCAACTCTATTACTCTAAATAAACTCTGTGACAATGCATTAATTATTAAATTTGTTAATAATGATTTATGGTTAATCTGAAATGTCTTTTCCTGTTGCAGTTACCCTTGTCTAGTTATAAAGTATATGTGGAGTATAAATGACCAGCATAATTGAACTAACTGGGGTCAAATTAAAGCTGCAAATAAGTGCTGGTTCAGGTCAAAAACAAATAACAGCTTTAAAATGACTTGTAACACCTACATAAATATAAGATCCATTGACTTGTGTCAGGCTAAAGTTTAAATGTTATCCTTATCCATCCCTGTGACCAACTTAAAAGCTACAGAAAAAGTGACTGTAACATAGAACTTAAATATAACTTTGTAATGGAGATGAGGGTCTCTTCAAAGACCTAGGTGAGGAAGAGCTCCACTGTTAAGCACTTTATACATCAGCTTTGATATTCCAATACAGTACTGTATATAAATATCAGGAATATTAATAAAAAGAAAGTAATAAACGTAACAGAAAATGTTGTTAAAACAAGAAAACTACCTTAAAGAATAGATGAGTTACATATTTCTAAGTTGTCATGAATAGCTAATTTCTCACCTAAAAGCAGATTTAATTCTTGCATACTGTGTACAAGTCCAAAATTGTAAATAAAGGGCAGAACATAAAATATTCTGTTTATCACAACTTTGTGCCCCAGGAACTGATACTTATTCTCTAAACAAGGTGTAATTCACTTTTCCATCTGTAATGTTTGTTTCAATATAACAGTCAGTGATCTAGTACATCCAGTACTGAAAACTGTTTGTTTCTACTGAACAATTTTGTTTAGGAATTGTTTCTTGACTCGTATTTGGCAATGTGTAGTATGGGTAAAGTCATGTTCTTATACCCAAGGTTTCAAAGTGAACTCCTTGAAACAAAACCATCATTTCCATTCTGATTTTATTTCTCACTGTTTTACCACAAACACAAATGTATAAATTGTCTGTGAATAATTTAATATAATATTGTATGTGGTAACTTACTACCACAAACAACACAACCATATGGTTCCTCTCCATGTTTTTCTAAAGATGTAATTTCTTAGAGTAGCTTCTTTCAGGTGTGGACCTCCTGATGTTTCAATATTTGTCATACATACATGAAAAACCTGATACTTTTTTTAAATGTAAATTTTGTCCAGTTTTCACCACACCTAACATCACAATTATATGGATTTTTCTCCATCACTTTAGATTACTAACTCATAATACTTCATACGTCTTGCATAAATGTATTATTTATTTCTATTGTAAATAATTTGATCTTTTTCAAGAATATTACACTTGAAAATAGCTTGTCACAAATACTACACATTACAATTTCACACCAGTGTCTATATCCTAGCGTTGTTTCAGGGTATTTTGTTTTTCTCTCAAAAATTCATTGCCATATACTCAAATATTTACAAGTGTACAATTTATTTTTATTCTAGGTAATTTGATATATTTTTTTCAATGACTATATGGGCACTTCCTGTCATACACTACAATTGTTAAGCTTATTATGGGTTAATAAAACATTCCTACATATGAAATTAGTATAGCTTTTCTGTTACAGAAACAAACACTGCATGACTTGTTTGTCCAATTCTAATGACTGATGTTACATTAATACATCTATTTGTTGACATTTCTTTGGATAAATTGATGCGATTTTTACTGTGAATTCCATGAAGATTTATTGCAAAAAACATCTCAACTGTAAGGTTTCTCAATGGTGTATATTATCACTTCCAAATTTTTTGCCACACACATCACAAATCTAGGGTTTGTCTTCAATGTGGATAAACTTATGATTTTTTAATTGTGAACTCCATAAAAATTTCTTGCAACAGACATCACAACTGTAAGGCTTTTCACCAGTGTGTATTCTCTGATGTGTTTTTAGGACATTACTGCTTCCAAATTTTTTGCCACACACATCACAAATGTATGGTTTATCTTCAGTGTGGATAAACTTATGACTTTTTAAATGTGAATTCAATGCGAATTTCTTAAAACAGATATCACAGGTATAAGGTTTCTCATGAGTGTGTATTCTCTTATGTATTTCTAAGACGTAATTCCTTACAAATTTTTTGCCACACACATCACACATGTATGGTCTATCTTCAGTGTGGATAAACATATGACTTTTTAATTGTGAATTCCGTAAAAATGTCTTGCCACAGGCCTTACAACTGTAAGGTTTCTCACCAGTGTGTATTCTCTGATGTCTTTTTAGAACATCATTGTTTCCAAATTTTTTGCCACACACCTCACAAATATATGGCTTCTCTTCAGTGTGGATATATTTATGACTGTTTAATTGTGAATTCCATGCAAATTTTTTGCCACAAACATCACAGGTATACGGTTTCTCAAGAGTATGTATTCTCTTATGTTTTTCTAGAACATAATTCCTAACAAATTTTTTTCCACACACATCACACATAAATGGTCTTTCTTCAGTGTGAATAAACTGATGCCTTTTTAAATGTGAATTCCGTGAGAATTTCTTGCAACAGACATCACAACTGTAAGGTTTCTCACCAGTGTGTATTCTCTGATGTATTTTTAGGACATTATTGCTCCCAAATTTTTTACCACAAACCTCGCAACTGTAAGGTTTGTCTTCAGTGTGGAACAATTTATGGCTTTTTAATTGGGAGTTCCGTGCAAATTTCTTGCAACAGACATCACAACTGTAAGGTTTCTCACCAGTATGTATTCTCTGATGTATTTTTAGGTCATTATTGCTTCCAAATGTTTTTCCACACACCTCACATATATAGAATTTGTCTTCAGAGTGGATAAATTTATGACTTTTTAATTGTGAATATTGTGCAAATTTATTGCCACAGGGATAACAACTAGAAGATTTCTCATGTGTATGTGTTCTCTTATGTCTTTTGAGGGCATTATTGCTTCCAAATTTTTTGCCACACATATCACACATATATGGTTTGTCTTCAGTGTGGATAAACTGATGCCTTTTTAATTGTTCATTCCGCAAAAATGATTTGGAGCAGACATCACAACTGTAAGGTTTCTCACCAGTGTGTATTCTATGATGTCTTTTTAGGATATTATTGCTTCTAAAGTTTTTGCCACACACCTCACAATTGTAGGGTTTGTCTTCAGTGTGGATAAACTTGTGACTTTTTAATTGTGAATTCTGTGAAAATTTCTTGCCACAGACATCACAGCTGTAAGGTTTCTCCCCAGTGTGTATCCTTTGATGAATTTTTAGGATGCTATTTTTTCCAAATTTCTTGCCACAAACATCACAGCTGTAAGGTTCCACACCAGTACGTGCTTTCTGATGTCTATTTAGGTCATTATTGTTTCTAAGACAACTGTGGAGCATATTTCCATCATGAAAATGTTTTTGTTTCACTAAAGTTTTGACAACTGTGTCACAGCTATTTGTTTTCTGAGATTTCCTCTTTTTTATACATGCATTGGTATCTCCTTGTGTCAAGAAATTATAAGCAGGAAACTGTTTGCAATAATGGTAGTTCAAAGTCTTTGGACCTATAACCAAAAAAATACAAACAATTACAGTAGTTTATAAATACATCATTTATTAATACTGTACCCTTTCGAATAACTTTAGAAATACTCTACAAAAACAAGTATTGAAAAACCAAAATATTCATTTTAAACTATCAATGCTGAATATATTCATACAGAATGTCTTCAAAGATATGAAAATGCCTTCAGAAAGAAAAAGGAGGCAATGAAGCATGTAGTGCATCTTATTTCAATACATTTACTTTCAAAATGTTTTGTCACCTATACCATATAGTATAATATAAAGGCAAGAAAGTTACTACCTCGTAACTTGTCTCTGAATACATTTATTTGGATGGTTTTCAGGATACTTTATTGTGTCGGAACAAACCAGAAAGAAAGTTTGAAACAGAAGGAGTTTTCAGTATACAACAGACAGCCCAAAGGCATTTGGACTGCACCACACATTAATCAACAGTGAAAATTGATGAACCACAAAAACAAAACAAAAAATAGCTGTAATGTTCAAGTTGCATTTTTATTGTATTTAAGAAATATTAATGGATACCTTATTTGAATTATTACAACACTTCATAATGCAAAATATTTGCTTTTATACATTTTCATTGCCTATAATATTACTACCTGATAGATATTAATGGAGGACTGTCATTTTTGACCTTTCTTACTAGCTCCAAGGGACTTTCCTTTTTAATATTTACATTAATAACATTGACAAGGACATAAATATCAAATTAATACAATTTGTTAATGAATTTAAAATTTTGCTGTATTGGGGATGTTTAAATGCTACAGAATGATTTGAATCATTTGGGTGTTATAATTACAATTACACATTTGATATATATGGGATACCACTCAACAGTGTGTTTGAAGACAAGAATCCTGGCATAGTGGAAGAAAGTTACTTTAGATAGAGGAAGTGTTCTAGTACTAGAACTAATGGAATTTTAGTACATACTTATAGACACTGACTGAATGTTGAAAGGGGTAATTACCTCTTTATAAACATCACTAGCTAAGCTTCACTTAGAATATTGTGTCCACTTTTGGTCATCTTATCTAAGAAAGGATATTAACTTAATTGAAAGAGTTTAGAGAAGGTCTACTAGGATGATTCTGGTGATAGAAGAGTTATCTTATTGAAGTTTACAAAATTATTCACAGGATTGATAGGATGAAGAAACAGATTTCTTTGTGTTGGATGATGCTGAAGACAAAAGAGGATACAAGTTTAAGATATGAAAGAGAGAAGGGTGAAGTTTTAGTACAAAATAGTTTTTTTTTATTTCTAACTGAGTGATTGACTTATGGAATGAGTTGCCATAAAGCAAAGATTGAAGACTTCTTGAAAAGTAACTGTTGGTTTAATTTTTTTTACTATTATTTCTTTGAGATGGGTGTGCAAGAAGAACATTAAACAATGCCTCTACTTGATCAAAACAATGCAGGTGCAGAATTCACAATGATTGAGCAGGTTGAGGCTTCTTATCAGTTATAAAAGTGAATGAGGTGTTGCACTGAAATGGCTATAAATCAGAAAAATCTGTGCATATACCTTCATCAGATTTTTACATAATGCATTATATGTGTTGTAAGTGTAGTTAATATAAACAGATATTTGAAAATTGGTAGTAATTACCTGCACAGATTGGAGTAACCATATAGAAATTAGCAGGGGCCCAGGAGACAATGGCCCCCCAAAATACTGGTGGGCCTGTAAAAAGTGTATGCTAGGTAGTTTACATGGCCCCTTAAAATCAAAAGAGCCATTAAAAGTTTGACTTCACATAAGTTGATCTAAATGGGGACTATCCTTGTGGCTAGTACATGATTGATATATAACATTATGCGACCATTCTGAGTGACAAACAAACTGAGGTTTATTGCCTAAGTTCATTATTCACTTCAGTTATCACTGTACACATTTTGAACTAAACCACTTTCTAAACCAAATGAAGTATTCCAACGAAAGATTCAAATAAAGTGACAGCATTAGAAAGTTTTTGTTTGTAAAGAGAGGAATTTTCAAACCGGTTTCCAAAAGATTTTTTTTTTAAATTGCTCTTATTAAAAATGCTCCTAACAGTATCTTTATTGCATATGTAATGAACAACTTTCCAACTTTAAAAAAGAAATGACAACTTTAAATGCATTATGATGAACAAGACCCACATCATGCTGGTTGAATTATTTAAAATTTATCACCTCCTGGCTCAATACACCATCAATTGTGTTTCAAATCTTAGGCACTTACACTGTGTCACTTTTGACATTTGTCTAAAATCATGAAATGTTAGCTTTTACTGTCGATAAAGTGTTTGACATTTTACTGTGAAATATGTGTTAGCTAGATGGTAATGGGTTATATGGGAACAAGAATAGATTACACTGACAGTGATGCAAAGAGTTTATTTCATTATGATTATTAAAGGACTACTTTAAAGGGGGAACAAAAAGTTACTGTTATACATTGATTTAGAAAGAAATTAAAGATCATATATTAAACTAGCAGAAATGCTGCCCTATGGGAGGCTGTTCATTTAGAATCTCCGAGAGCTGAACTGTGTATTTCTCTGTCATGAAATTGCTCCTGACTTCGGGTTTGTTCCTGGCTTCTTCTCACTGGATCTAGCCTCATAACTGCTTCTGTATTTCGGGTTTGTTCCTGGCTTCTTCTCACTGGATCTTGTCTCATAACTTGGTGAACAAGCCTATCTCTTTCTTGTTCTTTCTTTCTTTTTTCTTAACTTACAAACATCGAGTTACTACAAAATTCCTGCATATTTGTATGCAATGAACTCAGTACAAAGGACTTCAGCCAATTCATAGTGTACGCTTGGATTCTCCAGCAAAAAGTCACTTTGAAATTCTGCATTAAACTCACTTTACCACAGTTTTAGAAGTTTTATTAAAAAAATTAGTTTCGTTGATAATAATAAATGTACAAAATTAATGTACATTGAGGAAGTGATTTACGAAAAATTGTTACAAAATAAGGTCCTATTACTTTTTTAATTTTAGAGAGGGTCTATTTTATAACATTTTTCATTTTGGTGCAATATAAAGCTGTTATTGACTTATTTCTTTAAACTAAAGTGGGCAAATGCACTAAATAATTTTTTGTAAAAGGACCAATAGTTATGAAACTTTGTTAGGAATTTCCCCTTATGATGTTGAAAAATCGTGTGAAGTTTCATCCAAATTATACTTAAACTGTTGGAGGAGTTTGAGCCTCTTATATACATGTATTTATATATATAAATAAATATTATTTAAGTGGTCTGAAATAAAATGGTTTCACTAGTGTATTTTTCAAGAAATAGAGGTTTACAACAAAATAAATTGAGATATGTTGATATCTTTAGTTTCCTTTCAATTTATGTAACATCTACCATTTAATTCAGTTATTTTTCTGATAATCTCCAATAATGAGTACATTTTACAATGAGCTATAGGATTGGCCCCTAAAACTGCATGTTTTGAGGGTCTGGCTGACTCCTTTAAAAAAAGTTCAGTTCTTGTGATAAATCAATGTTATATTGCTTGAGTCAAAATAAAAAACAGTGCATTCATCCAACCAATTACATTAAGCAGTAGGATTCCAAATATTACATTGTAACTTGCCTGTTTTACTGCACCTATTCAATCTTTGTACTACAACAGATCAACTAACTTGCAATTAGTATCAGGATTATTGAAACAACTATGCATTATCTCTACACGTAAATGTGTTACATTACACTAGAAATTGCTTACATATGTCACCTTACTTAAGGATTTTCACATGTGCCACATTACTCCAGCCCTGTTTAAGAACTTATGTTCATGTGTAACATTACATGTTGTATTTACCTGTGTTGTATTCCTTTAGTACTTATGTATTACATTTGAATAGTTACACAGATGTCATACTACTTCAGTACTTGCATACACGTATCACAAGAATTATTATGAATGTGTCACACTACTTCTGCATTTACAGACAAATCCTGTAAATTCAGCATTCACATATGTTACCTAGGCTGGAAAGCCAATGTTATGATGACATATTACTTCAAAATTTAATACAACATATTAAGATGTGAACCTCATAAGATGTTTCTTTTTTAACTTAATTTCATTACTGTATCTGACAAAACACTTCTCATTGTTTTAAAATCTAAGAAAATAAACAATCGGAGTAACACAACTTTGTTCTCACTACACCAAAGAGATGACTCTTGGAACACTTAACTAAGAGCATTGCAAATAATGTGCTTATACAATAACAATCTTTAATGTGCAATTCCTGGTAAATCAGTTTAAAAGTTGAATTCAGTCACTAGTGTTCAGTACACAAATTTACATTTCACTACAGTACATTTTTTAAGTACAAAGCTCTAAATCTGAAGTTTTTTTTTATAGCTAAAGACAAAGATTTATCAATATTGCCACTATTACCTTTTGTAAGTTATAACTTTCCTATACTTAAAATGTATTTCTGATAGGTACTTCCCCCTTCTCACAAGATTAGCTATTCTCATCCAGTGCTGCCCTCTATATGCAAATTATTTCTTTATGTATGCCTCAAGTCTTCTATTGGAATTGAATGATTTTAACATGTCTCTCATGTAGATCTTCATCCGTCACTTCTCCACCAATAGGAATGTGACTATTACTTTGAAGTTTGGCAAAAGACATAAGCACCAGAGGAAAGTGGGGAGGAAGTGTGAGAAGAGGGAAGTACCTATCGGAAATACGTTTTCAGTATAGGAAAATTATAAATTTCAACATGCTACTTTCCTCTTCTCACAAAATTAGCTAGAATCTCACATTGATTAGGTGGCGGGACCAGTGTGAGGGAATGAAAAAAGTACCCCTCGAAAGCATCTGAAGAATACCCCTAGACATTAGAGAGTCAGATCCAAAGATCTGATGAGAGGAACTGCACCACTTCTGAACCAGGTATACTCTTTGCTCATCCATGAAGTGTGTAGTAGATAAGGGTGGAAAAAGAG